TATCCACAGATATTCGCTTTCTGTATAGGACTTTCGTAGCACAGAGAATGAGACCAATAATTGACAAATAGAACCTCACAAAACTACAAGGACTTCTATATAGCAACAAACAACATTAATTAAGTGAAGAATTTGCCTGTAGAATGTGGGAAAATCTATGACAGCAATACATATGACAATGGATTAGTATGTAGAATATATAATAAAGTAAAAAACTAAACACTAAGAAAGTAAATAATGCAATTAACAGGCTACAGAGGAAAACAGGTTGTCATCAACTTTCATTAGGTGTGATCTTGGACAAACTTCAGAACAGATAATCACATAGTTTTAGCTATCGTATTAACATCACTCAACTCATTGTGCACATATGTGATATGAAAAAGATGTTATGTCAAAATACATAACCATGGAAAGCAAGGTTTTTCTTTAGGATGCAGGAACTGCTTATACCATTTGTGGCTTATATTGTTTGTCAACATGGGGACTTAATATTGAAGGTTGAGTATAATAGGAAGAAAATTACACAAATAATAAAGTTTTCTTGAAAAACAATATTGTGTAGTGGATTTAATTCTCTAAAGATTGACATAGAAGTTAAGAACATGCAATCTAAATTCTTACACAATAAAATTCCTGATTTTATTTGTATGTAATTACATATTACTTAATGCACAGAGGAGAACTAAAATGCACACATAAGAATTTCCAGAATTCCAATAGGTACTCTGCCAAGATCCAGCATCAATGGTTGAAGGATCCTAAGAAAGGCGCAAATGGAAATGGTACTGATTCAATGATTTGGAATCAGTAAATGCAAGCTGTTAGTTCAGGTACTCTCAGTTTCCTGAAGATTCTCAGATTCTTCTTTATTCTTCATTTTCAACTTAAGCTTAATAATCAAAGAGATCCTGAACCCAGTCTTTTATTTACTAAAACTGCATCATCAAGGCTGTGATCATTGTTAATAGTTAGCAAAATTCTTAGATTTATATGAGTCCAAGATCAATAGTTCCAACTTGTTTCCTTAGAGTAGAAACTAAACTGAAAGAAAAAAAAAAAACACGTTTTCTTATAGGCTTTACACCGTTTGTTCTTCATGGGTATCTGGACACAGCTCTTGCAGTTTCCTGGTATAGCAGACAGCAGTCTTTAGTAACTGCTTCCATGTAAGAAGAAAAAAATGACAAACTACTAAAATTAAAATAAGTCCTTACAAAATTTTGAATTTATGTGGGTAAAATGGTTAATTCTCTCTAATAGCTTTACAGGTATTGTTGTCTCCAATTCTTCAATAAGCTAGAAAAACAGAAATACTAAGTTTTTATTTGCTTTTACATAATCTTTTAATTCTCTAATCTTTATTTCCTCATCCTAACAATTTCATAGCCTCATGTACTCTCCTTCTAATACTATTTATTCCCAAATTATACATAAATTCCTACTTTTTATATCAATGTTTTTCTTCCCGAGACAACTTAACTTTCTGTTCTTGATGTCCTCAAGTTCACACTGGATAATTAAGGCAGCAATCATCTGACAGGAGGGTACATGTGTCTCCTCATGATTCCAAATTCAAGGCCAAGTTTGGCAATGAACTACTTTTACAAAAGACCATGTAGGCTTTTATGGCCTTTGTGGTTATGCTGTCTAGATCCTTTCCCATTGGTCCTGGAGGTCAAGCAAAGGGCCTGTTGCTCATCTTTCACATTGTCAAGACCATCTCCATTCCTCATTCCTGAAAATAGCATCTGTTTCCATTATTATGGCATTATTAGATCTTAGTAATTGGAGGAGATAAACTACCCAGAGAAAAAGACTGAAGGTAGACTAATAAAAGCAGCAGATCAACTTTGGGGCAACAGCAACCACCAGCACATGTGGGGTTCAGGGGATCAATGGCATGCTCCAGGAGCAGAAACTGTGTCACACCTCCCATTACACAGCCATGCTGGACCCAGCAGTATTCTGCTAACAGTGATTTGACTGTCACAATAAGCATGTGCAAAGAAAGATCTAGTCTTTGGGGTAATGGTTGAGAATTTAGTCAAATAACATGAGCACCCATATTACTTCAGGAGACATTTCTAATCTAAGATAATTTGAAGAATTCTATCTAACAAGAAAACAAAAGAGCTAGTCAAATGACTTACAATGTCAAATGGATTGAGAAGAAACTTTTTTCATCTGGAGTGACAAAATATGCCTTAGATATGGTCCACACTCATCATTTGCTTTGACTTCTCGGACTGTAGTATATGTTGGATTTCCAAAGGGCAAGTGCACTCTAGCATTCCTGGAACATACACAGTACTTAAAGGAAGCTGTTCAGGTTTGTTTGTTCCTTGTTTGAACTGAGTATTATTTGTTACACAGTCATCTGTATGATAACTCACTGTCTCTCCACTCTGATTATGTCACTGACCTTTCAGACACCATTATAATTTTCTTTGTTTACAAGGTCCTGTCAGACAACATATCACCACAGTCTCCAAGAAATGAGAGCATTTTGTCAAGTAAATTTTCTTATGAGTTTTAAGTAAATTGTCTTTCAGAGAGCAAGGTTGCATAATTTTATTTTTAAAACATAAAACACGATTTATAATAAATCCAAATTGGGTTCTTAGGCTAAAAAAATGATAATTGAATGATTCTTAAACACTTAAAAAATATTTTAAGAGACCACAAAATATGTGTATCAAATTCTTTCTGAAAATGATCATTTGGAGCAATAGATAATGAAATCATTGCTGTTTCCTTTAAAGACACTTGAATACTTATTGTTTGGGATTGAAAAATGTTATACTTTTTTCCAGGAAGAATGATGTTACTTTCCTCTCTTATGATGTTCCTTATTGTTTTTACACTTTTGTCTCTTCCGTGAACATTTTATACAATCTTATAAAATGAAATACTATTTATATGCATCCATTTGTCCTGAAGGATAGAGTTAGAAGAAAAACTAATTTCAATTTTCTTCTTTCAATCATGTTCAGACTCAATAAAACACTCATGAATTCATTGCAATTGAGTGCTTTTAGGTCAAACTGAATAATATTTAATCATATACATTTTGTTCTATAGTTATTATAATCACAATCTATAAATATTATCTTTAAATATAAAGCAATAGCATATATAATTTCAAATTACTGTTCTTTTTACCAATATATGCATGATATGTCATTATGGTTTATTACTATGTATGAAACATATAGCTAAATTTTAGAACTTAGGGTAATAATTTTTTAAAAAAAAATCTGCAGGTATCTTTACCTGTAAAAATCTTTAGGGAAAATATTTATAACTTTTGTTTTATTGTTCTTTTATGTACTCAGTTTGTCCACCAAGTAAAGTCAATCTGTTTGAAGAACCAATGGGATGTGAGGTTGCTGGTAGTTGGAAACAACATGATAGTAGTTATGTCATCATTTTCATTTATCGATGGACTTGCATCACTACAAAAACCTTGGTATACAAGTTGCACCAACCCATTTATTCAGTTCCCTTCTGAATTATGATTTGTGGGATCTTGCTAACATGGAAAACATAATACATTTCAAAAATGATGGATTTCTAAAGATCCTTCATTCCTGTGTTTTGGATCTCAGTTACTGGATTATTATTCTACTGTAGAACTAGGAATCATTCTCAACTCTAAAAGACACAGTATATATTTTACCTCCAGTTACACACTTAACATGGTATTTGCCGTCCAGTAAAATTCCGCTTGCCTAATGATAAACTTGCAAGGATTTTCCTCATTTGTCAATTTTAAAAGGTAGATTTATTAAATCCTTTCCATGTCTAAAAGGATTCATAGTACAATATTTTTTGCTCAAGTGACTATTATTTCATTCACTAGCTACATATAGAGAACACATTTTAATTATTTTGATATATGCTTGATTTTGTGTGTGATTTAATCGGAATTCAGTCAAGATAAACTAAATAATTTTCACTGAGGTAACTAATAGAATTGCAATTAAATATCAGGTTGGTCAAAGTTTTGTGAAATTTCTCACTATTGTGTATATCAAGAGTTTCCCTCATTGTCTTAAAATGGATGCTAACTGGTGTCTAACACCCCAATAAGAAAAAGTACCTGCTCATCTTTACCGATACTTTTTGTATGGTGTCAGAACTTGAATTTATTTAGTTGAAATTCCAAGAGCTGCGTCACTAGATTTTCAAGATGGAAATGGCATGGTCTTCCCAGAGTAGGCTCTCAAGTTGCACAGTATCACTTTTACAGCATTCAGTTGGTTACAAATACCTTCCACAGCCAGAAGTCTAGCTGATGGATCTGCCCAGCCTAGGATTCCCTATTCATCTAAAATGTCTTTATCTTTCTATCTTATCTCATTGATGAAATTTTTCAAGTTATCTTTCTTACTCTTAAATCTGTCATTCCCCAAATCTGCCTTTGTACTATGTTCCTAAAGCCATAGTATTTTTGATGTTGAAGTTATGCCAGAAAAAGCTAGTTAAAGTGGCAGGTGTCCTAACTCACAAGCCTGGGGAAACTGTTTAAACTTTTCATAGGAGTAGCAGGACTAACAAAACATATGTGTCCTTTAGCATTTCTGACAACACAGAACCTGACATTATCTAATACAGAGTTAACATATGATGCTAGTTTCCATTTATCTCCTATAGTATTTTTAACTTTTATTTTTAGTTATAATTTAATTATATTTCTCCCTTCCCTTACCTCCCTCTCAAACCTCCCATATGCCCCTCCCCTCTCGCCTTCTAATATGTAATCTCTTTTCAGTAATTATCATTTCATGCATATGTCTACTTACACATACAAATGTATTCTTAAATACAAGCTGTTAGGTCCATATAATCTGATATAGATCAGAAGACAGATGGATTTTGAATATCAGTGAAGAGGCCCTCTGATTATTGAAGCTTCCATAAACAGAACTTTGAAAAAATCTTATGATAAAATAATATGTTGTTTTACCATTTCTTTCCCATGATCTCTCCTAGAAATGAAAAAAGAAATGAAAAAATCTGGGAAGAGCTCTTCAGATTTGAAAGATAAAGGTAATAGACTTCATTTAATATAACAACATAATTGTAAGTTGGAGTATCTGGAAAGTACCTTGTACTTTGGGGACATAATTTTCAAAGTTGTGCAAACAATAATTACACAGTCTGTTTATAATATCATACTTTTAAAAGTACTAGCATTTGCAAAGATGTGGGGGAGGGAAGAAGTCAATTATAAAGGAAAGAAGGAATTTTCTTAACAATAAAAAGTAATATGGATAAGAAAATAAGAAAATAAAAGTATTAATATGGTCTTGTCTCTACAACCTCTGACTCTCCCCTTCCTAATCTCTCTCTCTCTCTCTCTCTCTCTCTCTCTCTCTCTCTCTCTCTCTCTCTCTTACACACACACACACACACACACACACTTTCTCTGGTGAATAACACTATTGAAATCCTTGAGAATCTCTTGACAAAGAAAAAGGATAAAGCTAAGAACAGAGGGCAGGACATAGTAGTTGTAGCTCTGAATCTTTTTACCTTTCAATACTCATAGGCTTATTCTGTGTTTTAGCCTTGTCAGACCCTTATTGCTGTAGCAAACACAAAGTCCTTATTTAAACATCATGATCTACATTTCATGATTGATGGATTACTTTTCAGCACATCAAAATTCTAGTCTTCTTTTTAAAAATAATTTCTTCATAAAACATCCGCCTCATATATTGAGAACTCTTCAGAACTAATACACAATTTTCATTTACTAGATATATAAGTTACCTTATGTAGGGATTTTATTGCGGGAAAGAGACTATGACTAATGCAACTCTTATAAAAGTAAGTAATTAATTGAGGGCTTGGTTACAATTTAGAGGATTAGTCTATTATCATAATGGAAGAGTTTCTGAGAGGTTTATACATTCGTCCCCAGACAGCAGGCAGACAGACAATGGTCCTAGTATAGGTTTTTGTCACTTCAAAGCTTAACCCCAATAACTCATCTACTTATACAAGGACACGCCTCCTTCAACAAAGACACAGCTACTCCAAGAAGGCCATACTCTCTAATTCTTCCAAATAGTTCATCACAGAAAAGTAAGCCGGAAAACATTAGAGACTATTGAGGACATTCTTATTCAAACCATGATATTACACTCTCCGTCCCCCATAGGGTTTAGCCATATCATAATGAAAATGCATTCGGTTTAACTTCAAATGTTTTCATGATCATCAGTAAAATAGTGATTCAAAATCAGATCATATACTTTCAATATATACTGGTACAGAGCATGTATTATATATTCAATATGTGAGAAAAGGGAGCAGAATAAGAGACCGAAACAAGACTGAAAAGCAGTGGGGAATACTCCACATTTGCTAGTTTTATATATGATGTAAATTTTCTTTTCAAAGCTACAGCTCCTTCCAGCTTTGTTAAGTGTAATATACTTCTCTCTCTTGAACTGCTTTCACACACAGCCTGCAGCTCTTCATGGCATGTCTCCATTCTGGCATCTCTAACATCTTGGAATCTCCAAAACAATTTGCTCTTCATCTTCATAGCCTCACAGCTTCATAGATTCATAGCTAGGTATTTAGCTTCTCTCAAACCATGTAGGAAATTCTACATCTTTCTTTTATCATTAATAGAAAGACCAAATCACATGAACCAAAGCTTGTGCCAAGTTCTATTTGCTGGAACTGGAACTTGGGACCTCCTTGACCTGCATTTACAAAAATGTCCAGTATCTTGGTTTCCTTCAGTACTTAAGCTTTCTTTAAATTCCCTTTCACAGGTTGAAAGCTCAGCTGGGTAAGGTCTTGGGCTGAGGTCACCACTCCCTTTATTCCATTTAATGTTAAGTTTTCCTTTAAACATTTTATTCCCTCCTGCACAGGGCTTAGGTCCAGCTTTACATTTCCTGGTGTTGTTTTCTATCTTCAAACAGTACATTTTGCATTTCTCTTTGTTCTACTTTCTCCTTTTTATTATAGATCTGTGTAAGAGTGGTCACTAACAGCAATAGGACCGGCACTACTAGGCTGCCTTGAAATTTCCTGTGTCAATGTCATTAATGCAAAATTCTCCAATTTAGCCTCTGAAACTTTTTTAGGATAATGGCTAAAAATAAAAAACCCTGCATCCTTTGCCAAAACATCACATGGTGGTAAAGCATGAGAGTCAGAGTAATATTTTTACAGGTTCGGTATTCTCTTCTCTCTGTCGCTCTGTCTCGGTCTGTCTCTCTGTCTCTGTCTCTGTGTCTCACTCCTTTCCTTCTTCTCCCTCATCTTTCCTTTCTCATGCTTCCCCATCTCTACTTCACTTCTATCTTCCTCTCTCAATATGTATTTACACAGGCCTCTGTGACTTAATGCACCTCATTTGCAATTCATGATCTACAAAGACTATACTTCTAATACAGTTTGAGATGCTTTTATTTTACTTGGTATCTCTGTCATGGGAATGTGTAGCTCATGCATTATTGTTTACTATTTAAGTAGATTAAAAGGAAGATTGTGACTTACTTCTAATTCTTCATGTAATATAATTATAAAAAATTTAAATTTTATTTAAAAACATCACCTGTTCCAAATCTCAAATTAGTTTGAAAGGGGGGTTGAGCAGGGATCACAGTGGCTCACAAAAACTGAAGTGACAATCACAAAGCCTTTATGAGTCTGAGCTAGCTTCTCTGCATATATGTTATGTTTTCATAGCTTGGTGTTCCTCTGGGACTCCTAATAGTAAAAGTGTGTGTGTTTGCAGAGGTGTCTCTGACTCTTTTACTGCTCTTGAGACCCTTTCCTCCTACTTGGTTGTCTTGTTCAGCCTTGATATGAGAATTTGTGACTAGTCTCATTGTAACTTGATGATATCACTGTGAAGTCTGCTCTTTTCCGAAAGAAAAAAATGGAGAAGGAGTGGATCAGAATGAGAGGATGGATCAGAATGAGAGGAGAAGTGGAGAAAGACTTGGTGAAATGGAGGGAAGGAAAACTGCAATTGGGATGCAATGTGTGAGAGAAGAAAAAGAACAATATACCAGGAAACGATAGACTTAAGTCTGTATTGATTAGTTCACCAAGTTAACAATATAGACTCTTGTAATTTATGTTCTTATTAATGCAGTTACAAAAATGGTTGATGTACAGTTATAAAAATGTCTAATAAGACTTCTCCCTCAATTAAAATTATCTACTCTTTGCAAATATCTTCACACTGATTAGAAAATCATATATATATAT